ATGAAGGTGCATCCCGAAGGATTAGACTCGTTTCCGAGCAAATATATAATGTGTAAATGAAGGTTTGGGTAACATATTGTATATGGGAATGGGAAGTTAGAGGATCAAATAGGAGAGGGGCTCATCTTAAAGTGGTAAATATATATATTTATGAAGGAGTAAAATGTACGTGAACGGTCGGTAACCTTTTTGTTTAAGTTTATGTATTATTATATGATGGTATTAGAATTTATTGATATGTTATGTAAAAAAGTGAAATTGAATAAGGAGGTTATCTCGGTAATATTACGGGAAATTGAAGTATATGTATGTATATGTAATGTTAAGTTAAACTGGGTTCCGGCTGTCGGTAATAAACAAGGAAAAAGATTGAAATTGTGGTAATATATGTATTGTAAATGAATAAAAGTGTAAAAAATAAAAGGAATAGAAAAGTTGTAATTCATTTTGTGAATACATTTTTGTTCATAACCTTATAGGATAAATCATGGTTGTTGAACATTGGTATTGGTACTGGGAAAATATTTTTTTTAAAAAAAAATAGAGAGATATAATTAATTAATTATTTTTGTTGTTGGGTTAGCACGTGCGGCATTTGTAAAAGAGGAATTAAAATTAAAAAGGAATGTAGAGGGGGTGAGGGGTGTAGATGCCTGGTTGAGGTTATAATTATAGATGTTGTAATTATAAACTTTAATTGGTACAGTTGTTTGTTTTTCCTTCGAAAATTGTTATGAATACATCTATATTATTTATGTTGAAAGGGGTAAATTAATATTTTATTTTATATTTTTTTTTCGTTTGGAAAGTTTAAATTAAAAAATTAATTTAAAACCTTTATTTTGTGAAATTTGAATTAAAGAAAATAATAATTTAAAAAGTGTAAATTAAAAAATTAATTTAATTTCTTTATTTTGTGAAATTTGAATTAAAGAGAATAATAATTTTTAAAAAAAAACTTTAATTGATAAAGTTTTCGGAGGTTGGGTATAAACACATTCTTTATATTGAAAGGGAATTTATATTAGAAAATTAGCCTTCCACATGGAAACTCTATCAAGGATAATCGACATGGTTGATTGCTACTTGCAAGTAACCCTGATAAAGAAAAACAATGGACTGACTCTAACGACGGGATCCTCTAACGAGAACCAGGCACCAATTCCAGAAGTGCGACGACGAAGGTGCTTCATTTGTCAGGAGGTGGGACACTTGAGGCATCAGTGTTCCCGGCCATCTATGGAGACTCGCGTACCTTTGCAAGCAATATCTGAGAATCGTGTGTATCCAGGGCGGAAGCGGGGACATCATGTTTCAGAGGGAAGACCACCAACTGACGCAACTACCTCAGGGTTGGATAGGGAGATGGAGAGACAGGCCGTGGATATTAGTAATGTGGATGTTCGGGGTCGATTCGTGAATGGGATTCGAGGTACAAATGAAGGAGATTTTTTGCAGAGATTAGTGACTAATACAATATCAACTGATAATTCGCAACCGTCGAGAGCTGAGGATTTCTGGATGAATCCCATGTCTATTTGAGAAGAATATTCTTTAAATAATGTTGTAAGTTTTTTTTTGTAGATATTTTTTTTTTCCCGTTTTTGTTTTATTTTGACGAAAATATGTTAAAATAAGTATTAATAACATGTCTAAATATAAATTTAGTGAAGATGTACCAATGAAAAGTGACAATTATCATAATCGTTATTTTTAAAGTTTTTTGAATTTTATTGACAAAGATATTTTAAAATAAGTATTGATAACATGTTTAAATAAAAATTTAGTGAAGATGTACTCTAGATAAGCGACAATTGTCATAATCGTTATTTTCAAAGTTTTTTGATTTTTTTTGACGAAAATAGTTAACTTGCATCGATATTGATTTTAAAATAGAAAAAAAAGTTTACCCAAATTTTAAACAAGATTGTCTAGTGAAAATTGGTAAAAAAATAATAATTTCTAACTTAGGATTAGATATTATGATATAAATTTTGCATATTAATTTCTGACCCGATGAACGGATGTAATAAAATGCCAATTTGCTCCTGTTTTTGGGGAAGAATACCCATTTACATCAAAGAAATTTTAAAAATAACGATTATGACAATTGTCACTTTTCTATAGTACATCTTCACTAAATTTTAATTTAAACATGTTATTATTACTCATTTTAACATATTTTCGTCAACAAAAATAAAAAAACTTTAAAAATAATGATTATGACAATTATCGCTTATCTAGAGTGCATCTTCACTAAATTTTTATTTAAACATGTTATCACTTTAAAAATAACGATTATGACAATTGTCACTTTTCATTGGTACATCTTCACTAAATTTATATTTACACATGTTATTAATACTTATTTTAACATATTTTCGTCAAAAAAATTCAAAAATTTTTAAAAATAACGATTATGACAATTGTCACTTTTCATTGTCTTCACTAAATTTATATTTAAACATCTTATTAATACTTATTTTAAAATATTTTCGTCAAAAAAATTCAAAAAACTTATAAAATAACGATTATGACAATTGTCACTTTTCTATGGTACATCTTCACTAAATTTTTATTTAAACATGTTTTTAATACTTATTTTAACATATTTTCTTCAAAAACATTCAAAAAACTTATAAAATAACGATTATGACAATTGTCACTTTTCTATGGTACATCTTCACCAAATTTTTATTTAAACAACTTATTAATACTTATTTTAACATATTTTCTTCAAAAAAATTCAAAAAACTTATAAAATAACGATTATGACAATTGTCAATTTTCTATGGTACATCTTCACTAAATTTTTATTTAAACATGTTATTAATACTTATTTTAACATATTGTAGTCAAAAAAATTCAAAAAACTTTAAAAATAACGATTATGACAATTGTCACTTTTCATTGGTACATCTTCACTAAATTTATATTTACACATGTTATTAATACTTATTTTAACCTATTTTCTTCAAAAAAATTCAAAAAACTTATAAAATAACGATTATGACAATTGTCACATTAAAATATTATCCTTAAAAAGATCATATAAAATCATCAAAAAAGTTTCATAAAATCCACCTCATTTAATAAAAAATAGATAATTTTAAAAAAAATGATAAAAAAATTATAAAAGATTTCACCTAAATGATTGTTTATTTATCTAATAAAATTTACAATATAATTCCTCGATAAAAAAGATGTATTTATAAAGAAGATTGTGAAAATCACTAATAAATTATATTAAAAAGAATATTACATTTTTACAATATAGCAGCATATTATTTTTTTTATTAAAATAACATCAAATAAATAAATTTATTTTCATTTCAAAATATAATAATATAAATAAAAAATATTAAATCATATCATGTTTATTTGTTGATAATAATAAAATATTTACATTAAATATAAATAAAATAAATTATTTTACTAAAATAAATAAATAATAATTAATACTAAGCATCGATGCAGAATTTTGACTAATTTAATTTTTGCAGATTTATATAGGCTTAGCCGATTTTTAGGCTTAACCTCATTAGGCTTAGCCGATTTTTAGGCTTAGCCTTATTAGGCTTAGGCGTAGTTTTTAGCCGATTACGCAACACTAGCTAGATCCTTTAAAAGCAAATTAGTACATGAGATGCGGACCGAATGCGTTCGATTATTGGATATTTATTTATCACAAATGCCTAAGTTTTCTACATTACTTGCAATATTTATTATGATGATAATTTTTGTGTTTCCTATTTAATTCAATTACTTTAGTAAATTCACTGTAAATATTCTCCCGCATGCATATTTGTCCCTGTTTCAAATTTATAGAAAATTTAACCTATTGCTATAATAAAATTTATCATACATTCCACTCTTATATTTATCCACCCAAATATTGGTCAAATTTTTTTTATCTTATCTTTTCGTTTACTATATTTATAAATCCTTTCATATTCACTGTTTAACAAATTTTTACTGAGTAAATATCTCGAGAGAATTTTAAATGCTGCTTTTAAAGATTGAAATAATTTCTTCCAAATACACGTTACAATTATTATCCATATAATTAATTATATTTTTAGAAATTTATATTATTTGAATTAAATCTGAAGATGAAGTTGGCCTACCCTATCCTATATCTCTTTAACCTTTATTCCTATCCTTATATTTATTTCAGTTATTATTAAAAACTTTAAATAATTTTAGTCAATAAAAATTTCCTTTCTGATAAACATTACAAGAGTTGAGCTCTTATTATTTTATCGAAAATGAACGTACATACAAAAGCAAAACACAATTATGATAAATGAACCAGGAGGGAAAAAAATTTTTTTATTTTATAAAAGTCCTAATTATTTAGCCAAAAAAACATTAAATAAAAATTAGTAAACTATAGGAAATTTCGAAGTTTCCCGGGAAAATTTCCTCAATGTTGCACAATTACAAATATAAATGTAGTGAAAAATATTTTTATTAGGCACATAAATAAAATTATCACATATAATGAAAAAAGTATATTCACACATAATTTCCAATTATCTGTTCATGTTGAAGGTACTAAATGTATACCTCATTAACATATTTTATAAAAATAATAAAATTACGGTCAACACTCATCAAAATAAAGGAAAATTTCTGATTCCTTCATAGAAGAGGCTTAATTTCTGATCTATTCATCATCAAATAAAGGAGAAAATTCTGATTCCCCGTCATTATTGATGGGCAATCAACTAATAATTCTATAATTAGGAATAATTCGAATATTAAAATCTACAATTTTTGAAATTTTTAAAAATAATAATTCGCTTAAGATTAGAATTCTGTAATACATATTTGTAAATTATTAATCAAATGGAATAATTTTCGACACGTCTAATATGTCTCCATTTACATCAAGCGTTCATGTAAAAAGTTTATTTTAAAAACTAGCATACCTTCTAGAAAATAATAAACTTTATTAATATAAATAAAATCAATGTTATATTTAATTAATTACTCACATTAGCTTGAAATACTAAAATCAATCGCTTCGTTCCAATATGCGTCATTAGCTTCTTCGACCTTGATTTTAGAATTTTTGTCATCACTCTTAAGCTTTTCGACGATTTCGATATTGTTATTGAATGGACAACAATCGTTAACCAGAGAAGTTTTCATTATATCAACTTTGATATTATTCAAGGCTTCATTAAAATCGGCATGAATGAGCTCTACCAAGGCTTGAGGTAGATTGGACAGGCGAGATTTTACTTTTTCTTCCAATTCCCCGATTCTGAAATATATACGGTTGCTGAGTTCGAACGGTACACGAATAAAGGATGGTTTTAATCGTTCCAGATCATCTTCGATATATTTATATAGGTAAAAATAATAAGAAATAAATTCAGTTCATTTAAAAAGTGTAAAATGTTGCATTCTAATTTAAAAAGAAAGTAAAACGTGTGGGTTCAGAATGCCCAGACCATTCAAATTAATTCTTATATAAAATCTATCTCTATTGAATAATTCAATAAATATTCGATTTATCCTTTGCTAAGAAGATATAAATTTGAAACTGTTGAGGTTTGCCATAGACCTATCTAGGGTTTATGGAAAAGTCTGTGTAATGTTTACAGAAACAAAGGAAATCATAACAACCTTATCGTTGCTTCCATTTGTGCCTGTCGTATGGCCTGCTGATTTACAGACACAGACTGGATCTTGCGCTATATTTGACTTTTTAACTTTTATTTTAAATTAATTACGCATATATTAACCTAGTAAGATTGATCTTAGTTAAATTTATTTAATTCTTTAAAAAACAGCTGATTTCCAAAAAAAATATTATTTTAATGATTTGTTTAACACAAATGAAATTTAATTTATGAATCGGCAAATCCGAATTTATCAATTAAATTAAAATTCCCCCAACACTCTCGATTTTCAACTTACCGTTCAAGATATATTACCCAATTATGGATCACCAGTTGGCAAACATACGGCAAGATATATTAACCAATTATGGATCACCAGTTGACAAACATACGGAAATATATATGTTCCTCTATTCCACCCTGGACATCATTCTCAAATCGAAGATATCTTCGCTTTAATTCTTTTGCACAAATCTTTTTTTCTTATCAAAAACTTTTTCATTTCTCCTCGAATACTCTATGCACTTAGATTTTAAATACTCCCTTCCTCTCAAGTTAGACGAAGAAGTAATTAAAAGCCTAACCGAAAAGATAGTTAACCTTCAGTTCAACAATACCAGTTGGGCGAAAGCCTTGTTACCAACTAAGAGTGGATGTTTGGACATCAAATCTCCCTCCACCTAGCAGTAATAGTTATCATATCAGCAGCTTTTATCAAATCAGATAACCACTGATAACGCTCTACGCTCTAAAGAAGACTCTTCCTTTATTGAGGATATATAGTTGTGGAAAACTCTGACCAAAGCTGTTTCTCAATAGTCTATATCTCATAGATGGGAAATGCCCTAGTAGCTGCTACGTCTAAGCTCTCTTATCGAGCTTGCAACTTATTAACTGCACCCTATTCCCTTCCTGAATCAATGACACTGGAGACGAATTTCTTAGCTATTCCTCTTCAGTCAATCTACAAACTCTTCAACAACGAAATTACCTTTCTTCTTCTTCTTCTTCTCCGTTTTATGGCGATTTCCAGGTTTACCCGGGTAGGCCAGTTTTCCCTCTGATTTTTCTTTTCCATTTTTGACGGTCCTGAGCATCAATACTTGTAAGATTCATGCTTCTCATATCCGCCGCTATCACATTTGTCCACGTCATCTTGAGTCTTCCTCTAGGTCTTGATCCTCCTACTTCCATCATTGTGACCCAGTCATCTCTTGTCATACGTTCCACATGCCCAAACCATCTTAGTCTATTTCGTTGCATTACCATACCAATCATTTCTATACCTAATCTTGGTCGCAATTCCTTGCTAGTTTTTCTCTCTCTCAGAGATACCCCACACATCCATCTAACCATCCTCATCACTGTTTTTTCTAATTTGGTTTCGTGAGTGGCTCTCATTTACATGTTTCACAGCCATAAACTAAACAACTCCTCACACAGCTTACGTAAACTTTCCCCTTTAACTTCAGAGAAACTTTTTTATTTGTAAGAATAGACGACATCTCTCTGAACTTCTTCCAAGCTTGTCTGATCCTTGCAACAACGGCAGAATCTACACCACCATCTGCGTTTAGCATATCCCCTAAATAACAAAACTTATCCACTTTTTCTAGGGTTAACCCATTACCAATATCCAGACCACCATTTTTTAGGTTATCATTATTATGTATCCCTTTCATGCATGTTCTACAAATAAAGGTCATTCTTTCTAACATCAAACTGCCTGTTTTCCCGCTACATCTTTTATGCACCCATTTCTGGCATCTGGCGCATTGGATAGAATTTCAAGCAACTCCTTTCCCACATACACCACAAGGCCACTTACCGGATTCCTACATCTTTAGATTTTCCCCACCAATCATCACCTTTGTTTTTGATGCATTCATTATCAAGCCCTTTGCTTCCATAGTCATCTTCCATTTACTAACTTTATCCCTCAATTCTCCCTCACTGTTTGCCATTAATACAAGGTCATCTGCATATAATATCTACCATGGAAGTCCTTCACGCATTTCTCTAGCCACTATATCCATTACTAAGATAAATAATAATGGATTCAGCACGGACCCTTGATGAAGTCCTACCTTCACCTCAAAGCTGTCACTATCACCATAATCCGTCCGTACTGCTGTTTGTGCTCCAACATACATTGCCATCACTGAGGTAACCAACCATTCCTCCACACCTGATTTTCTCAAGGCCCATATACTAATCTCATGCGGCACCCTATCAAATGTCTCTAAATCAACAAACGCATAATAGAGTTTCTTTTCCTTCGCAAGATACTTCTCTTGAATTTGTCTCACCACAAAAATTACATCTGTCGTGCCTTTTCCCGATGTAAAACCAAACTGTATTTCATCAATTATAATTTGTTCCCTTAACCGCTTCTCTAACACTCTCTCAAATATTTTCATTGCATGTTCCAAGGGTTTAATAGCTCTGTAAGATCCGCAATCTAAAAGATCACCTTTCCCCTTGAATACTGGGATAATTATACTTCTCCGCCAGTCCTCGGGAATAGTACCTTCTGTGACAATTTGATTTGCCCTAAATCATCAGAACCTTTAAACATCTCTGATACCACCATCGTTAAACCCGATGCCTTCCCTTTCTTCATCTTTTTCAATATTATTATCCTTTTTATTTTCTTCATTCAAAAGTCCTTTCATGTAAATCTTCCAGGTGTTCTTAATACCACTACCATCAATCGGCATTTTTCCTTCCATATTTTTCAAACACTTTACACCTATCACATCCTGCCTCTTTTTTGACATCTGTTTTGCCATTCGAACCATATTTCCAATTCCATCAGCGTATTCCATTTCTTTAGCAAACTCGTGTCTTTTTTCTTCTTGAGCCTTCGCTATTAATTTCTTAGCATTTCTTTTAGCCATCTTGTAAATATCATTATCACTATTTTCTTTGCTATTATACCATACTTTGAAACACCTCCGTTTCACATCCACGGCTTTCGCTACCTCCGGGTTCCACCACCAAGTCTTCTTATGTCTAGGCGGCCCTTTTGTCCATCCACATACCTCCTCAGTTGTCATTACCCAGGCTTTCTTCATGGCTTCCCACTTGTCATTCACCCCAGATGCTTGTGCCACCTCCGCCTCCCTAATCGCCAATGCCATATTGAATTGACGTCTAGCACTCTCCTCCTTCAATTTCCAAACCTTCAGCCTTGGGACAAACTTTCTTTTAGTGACCCTGGCACCTTTAAGAGTGAGATCTCCTACAACTAGTCGATGCTTTCCTCTCCCCGTATCACTTTCACATTTTTTACTATACATCGATCACATCTCCTTAATAACAAGTAATCCACTGCACTTTTGGTACTACCCAACTTATAAGTTACCAGCTTCTCGGATTCTTTCTTAAACATTGTACTACAGACAATCATATCCATAGCATCACTAAAATCTAAAATCCTCTCTCCTTCCAAATTTCTCATGCCGTAACTGAACCCTCCATGTACTCCTTCATAACCCTCACTACTCGCTCCCACATGTCCATTCAGATCACCAGCCAGGATAATCCCCTCTTCATTTGCCAGTCTCGATGTCACCCCCAATAGACTGTCCCAAAATATATCTTTCTCTTCTTCACTTCTTCCAACCTGAGGAACATATGCCGAGATAATATTATATAGCTCACTTCGACTACTTCTGTCTACCAATTTCTCCGCAACCAATACCCCAACTCCAGCCTTACCATTATTACCTCCTTGCCAAAAGAATTTATACTTTTCGCTAGTCTTGCCAATCATTCTGGTCCCATTTCTTTCCATCTAGTCACCTGTATGCAGCACACATCTATATGTCTTCTGTGCAATACATCGACGACTTCTCCCGCTCTTCCCGTCATACTCCCAACATTCCATGTCGCGACTCTAACTCGATCACCCGTAAACTGTTTTTATCAGGTCGTTTATGGCCGTCATAAGTTTCATTTTCATGAATAGTGGTTCCACCAGGTTTCCCATCCTTTTTTTTGTCGTAGGCGGATGAGGAGGCCCAGGGGGTACTTTGGGCTGTACCCCGCCCATGCTTTGTTATAACCATAGATTTTGTAGCAAGGTTTTTACAATCAGATGCCCTTCCTGACATCAACCTATTTAAGTGGTTTTTACACCCCGTCATGGAGACGGTGATCCTATTCTAGACCCAGATCACAGGAAACTTTTTAGACCTCCATTAGCCGCCAAAAGACGTTGCCACTCTCCCGCCACGATGGGGCTGAAGGTAGGATTTTGGGAGAGAACAACGAAATTACCCATTCTACATAAATTCGATTTAATTGTCTTATCATCTTTCCACATACTGCTCAAGCGGTAGCTTACTCGTAGATAAAAGGAAGACATACGTACCTTGTCGATCATGCAATGATTGATTCATCAAACATAATTAATATAACTCTATCAGCCAACGTTACCTTAAATCAGTTCAAATACCTTTAAAACTTTTTGGTCTTTTCAGATTAGACGGTAAAGGCCCCGATAATATTACAAAAACATCATGAGAGGTCAATTACTTATATTGAGCTATTCTTGTATTGAACCCGCTCCAATTAAGTCCTCAAACAACCAAAGAGAACAAAATAAAATTATAAAATATTCAGAAATCGTATATTTAGTAAATTCGCCCTATCATTCTTCTTAAATCTAGGAGCCCAAATCATTAAACTAACCGAAAAACCCC